CCCGGGAACCAAGCCTGCGACCCTTCGGTCGGGGGCGACGCTCGAACCACCGAATCAAACCGGCAAGGGCCGAACTCCATTTTGGAGGGTTTTACACAAATTGCACTGCATAGCACGATGGAGGAAATCACCTCTGCTGGTGATTAACGTGAACCCCAGCCCATCTCTCCCCAGGAGGCCAGGAGGGTGGGGCTGAAAACTCCGCTGTCATGTGGTCGGTGCTCTGAGCCCCCTGCCCCCTTCGCGTGGCTTCCTGGGGGCTCTCGTGTGCATAAACTCAGGTGTGGGGGCGAGGAGCGAGCTCCAGTCCCAAAAGAGGCTCCGTTCACATGTATAAAATGGCTGGCGTGGTTTCAGGAACAGCCGAAGGCCGAATATTAGGAGGAAGTTGCCCGGTACAGGGACTGGTCCCGAGGAGGAAGATTTTATGTGTATTCCTATTTTCTCACAACCTCACAAGCGCCATCTATTTCACTCTCCTCGGGCGCGAGTCTGCTCTGACCCACTATCACCAGTGGGGGTTTAGCTGTGTGAGCAAGCCCGCCCACCTGCCTCCCAGGTGAGAGTGTGCCCAGGACAGAAGCTGGGACGACACGGGAGCTACTGCCCGGGAGAGACATCGGCGGGGTCCCCACGGGGCGCACAGCTCCCGTGCGTCCTGAAAACACCACGCAAGGGAGCCTCTCTCCAGGGGCCAGACTCACGGCGTGCAGCGGCCCCGGGGTGTCAGCACTGCTGTCTAGTTAGAGCGGGCGCTGGGCGAGGCTGCGGGCGCAGCAGGTGTCGAGCAGGGTGAGGTGGGGCCTGGGCTGGGCACGGCCTCTGCCTGGCTCCGTCGGTGGAAGAGACTCACCCAGGATAGCTCATGAGCCAACCCGAGCTATTTTCGCTGCCTGTCCATCCCTTTGAGAGCCGGCGGCCTCGGTGTGCTGAGGACAGTGAGGCGAGATGCACTGGGGAGCTGAGGTCAGATGAGCTGCCCAGTTAGATATTTGGGACAAAAGTCGACAGCCCGTTTTAGGTCGGCCTATTCCAGGAAGGAAGGGAGCTGTGAATAACTCCACTCACGCCGTGTGGTGTGACCTATATTTGTGCGGTCAATACACCCTCAGAAGCGTGTGTGAAGGGAAGCAGAGTTACAAAACCGCGTTCCCGTCCCCTCTCAGCGCTCCTGCCCCAGGTGCCTTCTTGTGGCGAGTGTTCTGGCGTCGGGTTTGCAGCGAAGGGACACTTGGTGTTCACGTAATGCCCGGTTATTTGATTCTCCAAATCAAAGGCGATTGATGATGGATCCTCATGGGCTCGCCGCCCCCGTGGACCAGCCCACGGAGGGTGAGCCCCTGGAAGGTCTGCAAGGAGGGAAGGCCCTTGGGAACGTCTTAGAGCGGGAACAGCTTAAAGACGGTGGAGAAATACGGTCTCTGGAGCCGATTCTTTAAAACCCCCGTTTGGACGATTCCACTCCGAGTCCCCCTTAGACTGTATCAAAGTTCAAGTGAAACTAGGGAACCAGGAGGCTCTTACCATCGCAAAACATACAATGCTGATGGGCCCACAGGGCGTTCTAAAGTGTGTCCCACCCTCGGGACTTTAGATTCTTTAAAGGGTTTTGTGTTTGCTCTAAGCAGCCAAACAGGCACGCGTGAAGCCAGCCGACACGGTGGTGGGTTTGCCTGTGGAGCGTATCGCCCATGAGGCGCGCAGGGCGGGCCTGGCGGGGCTGTGGGAGAAAGTCGCCCGGGAGACCCGCTCGCCGTGAGCACCCGTGCTGCGTCCCCACTCGGGCGTCCAGCCCACTTTTTTGATATTTCCTTTGGACAATGTCAGCATTGCCCCACGCTCTGGGAAGCCCGGGGCAGAGAGGGGCGGCCGGGGAGTGACCTGCTTGGCCGAGGGGAGCCGAGGGGAGGACGGGAGACAGGCCGCCCCACGTGCTGTGCGCAGCCCCGGCGCTCAGAAGCACCGGGGAAATAACTCAAGTGGGAATCCGCCCGAGGAACCAGAGAAATCTGTCAGCCAGAACCGGCTTCCTGCCTGACCCCGGGCCGGTGAGAGTGATGAAACGGCCTTTGTGTCCGCGGGCTTTCCCTGTGCGTGAGCAGGGGTGGCGTGGCCGCGTGGCGTGCCACCAGCTGCACATGGCAGCCGCTCAACGGTGACGGTGAGCGGTGCCCACCCTGAGGCCGGAGAGGCCTGGTAAGAGAGAAACCGCACGCCGTTCCGTTCGCAGCGGGGTCAGGGCGCAGGGACCGAGTTGGGTTCCGGAGCTCTCCTACAGCTGCGACTCATCAGCTGAATGTGAGCGGAGGACATGAGTGGCTTTAGGATGGATACATACATTCCAGACCTTTCCTGGACCCCTGACCTGCGAACGTCAGTATAACTTGTACCTTCCCCTGCCCGAGGTCTCAATAACTATACAAGGCGTTTGGTCCCCGGTTGGCAGCTGGCTCTCGAGGCTCAGCCATCAGCCATGAGGTGCTTCCTCGGTTTATGGATGACAGCTCATCTCGGGACACATACACACACACACACACGCGCGCCTGCGGGAGCAAGGGGACCGTGGGTGGGTGCCCCGTCCCTCCAAGGTCCTGGGTTTCTATCAGCCCCTCTTCCCCACTTACCCTCCCCTCCTGCCCACCCTGCCCCCAGGACTCCGCAAGAGCTCTGCCTGCTGACTGGGTGTCCTCCCATGTGATGCATTAAATATTAATGCTGTGGTAATTATTAATTATTAATTCAGCACTTTTGTCCTCTTAATATCTGGCCACGGGATTAATATTTGACTGCTCACAACCTGACCTATAGCAATGCCGTCGTCTCCCCTCACGGGCTGGGAACGCCGGGCCCACAAGCTGGTTTCACCGGCTCGGACTCGGGGTCCTATCCCATCCCCACCCCCTTGCAGCCCGGAGCTCTGACCCCCGTCCTCTCCTCGCAGCACGTGCTCGGGGCCTCTGTGCTCGGCGTCAGCAGCCCCTGCCCCGCCAGGCCGCCAGCCGTCGGTGCTCCCGTCCCCTCCTGTCCCTCTGGCTGTCCTCCTCGGGGCCACGTGTGACCTGTCAGAAGCCGCCTGGGCGGGCGTCGGCCTTTGCGTTTTGTCCTGCCTAGCTGTGCCCTTGCACCGGAGACTTCTGTGCAGGGAGCAGGAGACGGGAGGGCCAGGGTTCTGGAGAGTTCTGTGAGCTCATTCACTGAGCACGCACCTGGGGAGCTCCAGTGGGGAGCTGCCAAACTTGTTTTCCAGTCCCAGGCCTGCTCCTTTGCGCGGGCTGCTCTGTTCCTCCCGGCCTTCCCGCGGCCGCGGCCCGGGCGCCAGGTTAACAGTCACCTTCAGACTGCGCTCCGAGGAGTGGAGGGGCGAGGGCTAATAAATAACGCGCTCGAGTGTTTGCCGTGCGCCGGGCCTGGCGGAGGGGGTGAGGGGGCAATGAATAGAGTGCTGGGGGCTGACCTCTGTGCTCAGCACCGTGCTGGTGGCCCAGGACGTGCCTTTGTTCACCCCCAGCGGGAAAACAGAAACCAGGGGCCCCTGGGCCAGGGCTGGGTCAGCACGTGACCCCGCTGCTCTCCGACCCGCCAGTGCGGAGCAGGCGCCTCTGGGAGGTGGAGGGTCTTGCTGTCATGAGCTCGGGGCCCCTTGTTTGTTAAGTGGGGTCACATGGGGCCGTTAGGGGAACAAATGAGCCCGAATACGTGACCAGCCATGTGCTGCCGCAGAGTCACCTCAGCTGTTATTTACCGAGTTGTTAAAAAGTGACAGATCTGGAAAACACAGAAAAATGGGGTCAGTGTTATTACAGTGTATTAGGTTACCAGTGAGCGAAACTAACTGGCCGGAGCACGATTATTCCACGGCTGTCGGAATGTTGGACAAAGCTCCCAGCAGGAAGCAGCCGGGCCACGCACAGCTGCCCGAGCCCGACTCCCACCCCAGCTCCCAGCTCCCTCCCTGCCCCAGCCCTTTCCTCCACCCCAGAGTGTGCTGGGTCCCCGGCCTCCCCACGGTTAGCAGGTTCTCCAGAGACGGAACCAACGGGGTGTGCATTTACAACACACATGTACCACATGCACATGGTATTTCAGGAATTGGCTCACATGGTTGTGGAGTTGCAAACCCAGACGCTGTAGGATGGGCCGGCAGCCTGGACACCCAGGCCGGAGCTGCAGAGAGTCTGCAGGCAGCATCCCCTCTTGCCGAGGGGACATCAGTGTTCTCTGGCCTCCCACTGATGGGGGAGGCCTTGGCAGCACTGCCTAGAACCCGTGCCTCTGACCGCGTTGGTTTGTGGTCCAGCCAAGCCGAAGCATAAAAGGATGCCCCCGAGTCTCCAGGTGCACGTCCGCCTGGCGTTCTCCGTCGTTCTTCACGGAGCGCTGTGTGCCGCCCTCGAGTCTCTCCCTGCGGCGGCCACAGGCTCCCTCCCGTGAAGGCCTCCTCTGGCTCTCAGGCCATGGCGAGGGCAGAGGAGGGGCAGCTGGGGGTGCCGGCCACACGCTGAGCCTGTCTGCCATGGCTCTCCCGGGCAGGCTTGGGCCATCGTTTGGTGTTGCCCTGTCCCTGTCTGCCGGCTTGCTTTTCAGGGAAGGGGGAGCCTGACTGGCCTACTCAGGGCTCTGTGTCCACCTGTGATCTGGCCAGCTGGACCAGGGTGGGGGACCCCGAGGCCAGGGTCATGGGGTCATGCTGGGCAACTGTGGCTGAGGGTGGGCCACCCACCCCAACGGGTATGTGCGCCGAGCCGATAAAGGGCGTCTCCTGTACCGGCAGGTAGAAATGAAGTTGGGCTATAATTATTGAACTGCCTCTGGAATATCAATCAGTATGAACACATGTCATAGGCATCAATCCTTACTGAAGTGCATGCTTCTCCATTTTGCTACTGTGTCCGCAGATGACAGTTTTCAGTGCCGTGGGACCTGGTCGCTAAGGTGTGCATTTGGGTGTGACCCTCACTGCGACTAACGTTTCTCTTCCACTTTGCCTTTTTAATGCCCAGAGAATGACATTGACCTTGAAGGTCTGGTGAATGATATGAATACATCTTTGGAGAGCCTGTGTCCATCTGCTACCATGCAGTCCGAGACGGTGCCCCTGCGCCAGAACGGCCAGCACACCCGTGGCCAGCCGCCACCTGCAGGAGCAAGGCCCGCGGAGCCGCAGGCATCTGCGCAGCAGAAGGTGCAGCGCTCCCAGCCCATGCACATCCTGGCTGTCAGGTGGGAGCCCGGGCCTCGCGGGGATCGCGTGGGGACAGAGCTGCTGCTCTCTGCTGGTTACGTGGTGATGGGGGTGGAGGGGGTGGCCCCGGGGGACCCACGGGCAGATACAAGCCTCTTCCCCGTGTAGCGTGACTGCACTGGGCAGGGCTTGGTACCTGGTTCAGCTTAGATGACATTGAGCCGGGCGCAGGGCCAGGTGGGAGGATGTCAAAGAAGCCGTCAGAGGAGGCTGCTCTGGAAAGAATGAAGTGGCCGGGCAGTCAATGGAGGTATCCAGGCCTCACTGCCCAGAGCAGGGTCCAGGACCGGGGGCCGTGGCATCGCCCCGGCGCCTGCCAGTGGGCAAGTGAGCCCGTGTCTGCATGTGAGCGAGTGTGCAGGCGCGGGTGCATGTGAGCGTGGAATGCAGGTGTGAGGTGCGTGCACGTGTGCGCGCCTGTACCGGGCATGGTTGGGTTTCGCAGAGTTGGCTTGACTCCACTGGTAGCTCGTTAGTCTGGGTTCAGGGACGCAGGGTCCCCACAGGAGTGCAGTTTAGAACTGACGCTCCGGCCACAAAGACACATTTCGATGCTGCATTTTAGATTTTACTTAGTCCGAGAACTCCTTTGTTCTCAGTAAACACTGGATAATACCCAGTTTCATGGTCTTCCTAGGAAGGGACCCAAAGTTCTTATACCCCCCTCCCCACACCAAAAAAAACAGCTGGAAATACCCGCGCTCCTTTATATTTTCACGTATCACACAAACTAGCACAAGAGCCCTGGGTGAGCGGTCCCGGCCAGAGTGGCAGACAGTTGACTCACACACCCCGTCTGGGCCACACCCCTGGCGGCCTGAGCGCTGTAGTAAGAGAGATGCTGAGGCCCCGGCGCCTGCATGACGAGAGCGCCCTAGGGACGCGGTGTGCGGCGGGGCCCGCGTCAGCAGGACCGTGTTGCACACTGAAAAGTGGGGTCACAGGTATAAGATCCCAAACCTTCCTTCTGTGAGAGGGCCAGCTGAGCGCTTCCTGGGCAGTGCCTGTGCTTCCTGCGTGTGCCCTGCACCTCCTGCGGGTGCCTCCCTCTTCGTGCGTGGGCTTCGGTTCAGTACCAAGCACTTCTGTGCGTGCCCAGCGCTTCCTGTACGTGCCCCTGCCTTGGCTGCCTGCTTCCGGTATGCTTCCGGAACACTTCTGTGCGTGCCCAGAGCCTCCTGTGCGTCCCCTGCGCTTCCAGGGGTGCCTGTGCTTCCTGTATGTGCCCTGCATTTCCTGTACGTGCTCCCCCTTTTCATGTGCGTGCGTGCGTGCGCGTGCGTGTGTGTGCGTGTGTGTGTGTGTGTGCACTTATGGTATAGTGCCGAGCACTTCCTGTGCACACCTGTGCTTCCTTGCGTGCCCTGCATATCCTGTACGTGCCCCCCATTTCAAGCATGTGTGTGCGCGCGTGTGCATGTGTGTGTGTGTGTGTGTGTGTGTGGCTGTGTGTATATATGTGTGTGTGTGTGTGTGTGTGTGTGTGTGTGTGTGTTTGTGTGTGTGTGTCCACCAGTATCACCACTAGCCCTGCTGGCCAGCTGCTTTTAACATTATTTTAACCAGATAGCAGTAGAATTACCCAGGTCTTTGGGCGCCTCCCTCTGAGCCCTGCCCTGTGTTACTCCTGGAGGAAGAGGGTTTCTGGGAAGTGGATTTGCTTCCTTCCAGTTCTCCCCACGATGGGGATGGGGGTGGAGGGGGTGGCCCCGGGGGACCCACGGGCAGATACAAGCCTCTTCCCCGTGTAGCGTGACTGCACTGGGCAGGGCTTGGTACCTGGTTCAGCTTAGATGACATTGAGCCGGGCGCAGGGCCAGGTGGGAGGATGTCAAAGAAGCCGTCAGAGGAGGCTGCTCTGGAAAGAATGAAGTGGCCGGGCAGTCAATGGAGGTATCCAGGCCTCACTGCCCAGAGCAGGGTCCAGGACCGGGGGCCGTGGCATCGCCCCGGCGCCTGCCAGAATGGCGCCACCTCAGACATGTGACGAACCCCCAGGGAATGAGTGGAGGAGCCTCTGGGAAGACGGGGCTGGAGGGAGGGACCGGAGGAGAGTTCCTTGCAGAGGACGGTAGGTCTCTTAGCTGGGTGAGTCCAGGAAGGGGGAGAGCTCCCGGCAGTGGAGCTGCTCCCTGTGGCAGGATTCCTTTCTCTCTCAGGTGGATACTGTCCCCGTGTAGGTCACACCGGGTCTCCCTTCGCACTGTCCTTGGACAGGCAGCAGGGACAGGGTGCTAGTGAATGAGCCTCCACCCAGGCAGACCCTGCATGAGTCCACTTCTGGGCGGAACCTCAAACAGGCCGGCACAGCAGCA